CTTCCTGGTTCAATTTAGGTAGGTTGCATGTGTCCAGGAATCTATGCATTTCTGATAGACTTCCCTGTTCACTGGCATACAGGTCATTGTATTAATTTCTGATGATTCTTTTTATTTCTGCGGTGTCTCTTGTTACATTTCCTTTTTCATCTCTGATTGTATTGATTTGGGTCAATTTTTTTTAGTTAGTTGGGCCAATGGGGTGTCAATTTTGTTTATTTTTTCAAAAAACCAACTCCTCATTTGGCTGATTTTTTGTAATGTTGTTTTGGATTCAATCCTATTGATTTCTTCTCTGATTTTAATTATTTCTCTTCTCCTACTAGATTTGGGTCTGGTTTGCTGCAGTTTTTCTAGATCCTTGAGATACATTGAAAGCTCATTTATGTGGTGCCTTTCCAATTTCTTGATGTAGGCACCTATTGCTATAAACTTTCCTCTTAACACTGCTTTTGCTGTGCCCCATAAGTTTTGATATGTTGTGTTGTTATCTTCATTTACTTCCAGAAAGTTTTTGATTTCTCTTTTGATTTCTTCTGTGACCCAGTGTTCATTCAGGAGCATGTTGTTCAATCTCCATGTGTTTGCATATGCTCTAGGGATTCCTGAGTTGCTAATTTCCAACTTCATTCCCCTATAGTCTGAGAAGCTGCATGGTATGATTCTAGTTCTTTTGAATTTGCTGAGACTTGCTTTATGGCTTAGTATGTGGTCAGTCCTGCAGTAGGTTCCATGCACTGCTGAGAAGAATGTAAATTATTTAAATGTAGAATGAAAAGTTCTGTAGATATCTGTTAGATCTATTTGTGCTATAGTGTCGTTTAAATCTACTGTTTCCTTGTTGATCTTCTGTCCGGTTGATCTGTCTATTTCTGAGATGGTCCCCCAGTACTATTGTATTGGAATCTCCCCTTAAGTCCCTTAACATATCTTTTAAATAAACCAGTGCCCTGTATTTAGGTGCATATACATTGATAATCGTTATATCTTCCTGTTGAATTGATCCCTTAATCATTATATAGTGTCCCTCTTTGTCTCTCTTCACAGTTTTTGTGTTAAAGTTTATGTTGTCTGATATTAAGATGGCTGTGCCCACTCTTTTTTCATCTCTGTTGGCATGGTATATCTTTTTCCAGCCTTTCACTTCGTCTGCATGCATCTTTGTTGGAAAGATGTGTTTCTTGCAAGCAGCAAATAGAGGGGTTTTGTTCCTTAACCCATTCAGCCAATCTGTGTCTTTTAACTCTAGAGTTGAGGCCATTAACGTTCAATGTGACTATTGATAAGTAGTAACTTTGCCCTGCCATTTTCTCAAAGATATTTTCTAATATGTGCTTTGAACTTCCTCTGATCTTTTGCTGTGAGGTTTCCTTACTTTACTTTCTTTCATATTGATGCCCGTGTTTATATCTTTGTGTTTAACACATCTTTAAACATCTTTTGCAGGGCTGGATGAGTGGTGACATATTCTTTCAATTTCTGTTTGCTCTGAAAGGTCTTTACTTCACCTTGATCCACAAATGAGAGCTTTGCAGGATATAATATTCTGGGCTGGCAGTTTTTCTCTCTTAGTATCTGGGCAATGTCTCACGATTCCCTCATAGCCTGTAGGTGCTGTGAGTCTAATTGGAGATTAGATTTCTCTTTACTATCACACTTTCCTGTTCAACTAATTTCTGCATTTCATTTTGATTCCTCCTTAAGATTTCATTTTCACGAGAGAGATTTTCTATCCTGTCCAGTCAGGATTTCTGTAGTTCAAGAATTTGTTTTTGAAAAATTCTAAATGTTTTTATCATAAATTTTTTTGAAATCTGTATCCTGCATTTCTTCTATCTCATCATCTTCATAATCTTGGCTTGGGGTGTCTTGTTCATTTGGGGGCGTCATAATGTCTTCCTTGTTCTTGTTTCCTCGGTATCTGTGTTTGTTGCTTGGCATTGTGGAGATATTCTTTGGATTCTTCTTCCCTTGCTGTGGTGTTTTTTTCTTGTTATATACTATGACTGTATTAAGTGGACTGTCTGCCTTTGATGGAGCCTTAGAGGCTTGAGATGGGTGTGGCCAGAGTCCTCTCTTTGGTTCTTCAGGGTTAAGGGTCTGCCAAAGGTGACACACCCAAGTTAGGCATGGTACATCTCTCTCTCTCTCTGCTCTCTGTCTCTCTCTCTCTTTCTTTTTTTTTTTTTTATTCAGAAGGGAAGAAATTTCGCACAGCTGAGCGGAATATTAGGCAGTCAGCTTCTGATCTCTGGCTCCTGTGGGTTTAACATTCATCTGCTCTTTCCCAAGGAAGACACCAAGACTCTGTGGTGCCCCCAGTGTGGGCTCAAATTCCCTTGCAGTCTCCCACCAGGTTGCCAAGGTTACCAAATTGTAGCGTCTCTGGCGAGTACTCACATGAACTCTGTGAGTTCTCTCACCCACCATCTCTTTTTTTCACAATCTCAGTTCATTAGCTCCATGCATTCACTAGGTCCTAACCTCCTGTTATTTCAACCCCCCCCAGAGTCAGGTTTTTCTGGTTGGCTGATGGCGGGCACTGCTTTAAGTATGTCCAAAATGACGCCTGCTCTTTGTCTTGCTCGCTTTTTAGAGGTGAGCGGAGAGAGAGACTTGTGTCCATACTGGTCCCCCCTTTTTTTTCCTCTCTCCTCTAGTTAGCCTAATGAACTTTCCTCCACAAGACTTCAAGCCCTTAATGAGAAACCACTACAGATTTTTTGGTTTGTTTGGGGGATTTATTTGTTTATTTGAAAGTCAGAGTAACAGAGAGGGAGGGAGAGACAGAGATCTTTCATCCACTGGCTATAAGAAGCCAGGAGCCAGGGGCAACACGTTGTCTCCCCACAAGGGTGACAGAGGCCCAAACAATCGACCCACCCTCAACAGCCATTCCTCAGGCCTCTAAAAGGGTGCTGGATCAGAAGTGGAGCAGCCAGGGCAGGCACTGTTCCCCACAATGGATTCCAGCGCCGCTGGTGGCCATACCCACTACACCACAACACTGGTATCTGGCCTCACTGTTTTTGACCATACTTGTAAGAACAGTCTTCTGAGAAGTGCACGGCTGCCCCATCTCAGTTGATTTTTATAAATAATGAGAGATATGCATCTAATTCCATTCTTCTACACGAATACATCGAGCTTTGCCAGCACCATTTGTTGAAGAGATTATCCTTACACCAATGAAAGGTCTGAACCCTTTTGTCAAAAATCAGGTGGCCATATGTATTTAGATTAACTTGTAAGATACCATTGTTTAGTTAAGAGGTCCAAATTCCATGTATTTCATAAATGCAATTTAGGTACACAGTGATAGTCCCAACCCTCCCTCCCTGTCTGTGGCACAACACATTGTACACTTGGTTGTCTGACTCCAGGCAGCAGCCCTGGAACTGACCAGGCCAGGATGCTGGGTGGGTATCTGCCATTCAGTAGCCCTGACCACGGGGAGTTTGGCAGAGCTGTGCACCATGTGGGAGTGGCTGGGTGTCAGCCCGGGAGGTGTAGAGAGCTCCACACTGTCCTGAGCTTCTGGTGGGCTGGATTGGGAGCAACGATGCCCTTGGAGTGCTCCTGATGATGGTGAGCACAGGAAAGGCATGTCAGGCTGGGGCTCAGGCTGCAGCCCCTGGTTCTTCAAGGCAGTGCGGCCTCTTCCACTGACACTGTGTATCCTTGGAGGAAGGGGCAGGTGTTAGTTGGATGGTGCTTGCATAGTAGGCCTCGGAGAGAAGTAGGCGATGTCTGTGGGAGTGGTGTCGAGGTTGAGGTCAGCTGGCAGTGGCATTGGCGGTAGTGTTACGGTAGGCTTGGAGAGTGCATGAGGGATTTGCTGTGTTTAAGCTTACGGACAGAGAGATGCCCAGGGCCTGCCTCAAAGGATGTGGGATACGGGGCTTCCCAGTGGCATTCCCCCCCCAAATCCGCAGGTTCAGAGGCAGTGGGGGTGGGCGGTGGCTCAGCCATGAGGAAATCGAGAAGCAGATGCCTGCCTCCCCTCCTGCCTCTCTGAGGACACGCATGTGAAATTAACCCAGAGTAGACTAGTGTTCTCTAGTAATTTGATGATACTGAGTTTTAGATTTCGTTCCTTGAAGTGTTTTTAGTTGCTTTTTTTTTTTTTTGACAGGCAGAGTGGACAATGAGAGAGATAGAAAGGTCTTCCTTTTCCGTTGGTTCACCCTCCAATGGCCACTGCAGTCGGCGCATTGTGGCCAGCGCACTGCACTGATCTGAAACCAGGAGCCAGGAGCCAGGTGCTTCTCCTGGTCTCCCATGCGAGTGCAGGGCCCAAGGACCTGGGCCATCCTCCACTGCACTCCCTGGCCACAGCAGAGAGCTGGCCTGGAAGAGGGGCAACCGGGACAGAATCCGGTGCCCCGACCAGGATTAGAAACCGGTGTGCTATGCCGCAGGTAGAGGATTAGCCTATTGAACCACAGCGCTAGCCATTTAGTTGCTTTTTGTATAGGTGTAAGGTATGGGTCTTCTTTCAGAGTTCTGCATATCTGTGCAGATTTCTCAGGACCATTTTTTGAAGAAACTGTCCCTTGCACCTGGATTGATCTTCAGCTCCTTCTTGAAAGATAGATTAGTTGTAGATATGTGTGTGTTATTTCAGATGTTTCTTTTCTGTTCCTTTGTTCTGTATGTCAGTTTTTTTTTTTTTACTATACCAAGCTGTTTTGATTGTAACTGTCCTGTGCTGTGTTTTGCAATCTGTTATTGCGATGTTTCGAGTTTTTTCAATGTTGTATAAGGTTGCTCTCTCTATTCAGATGTTCTGCGTTTTCATATGAATTTTAGCATTGTTTTCTCTCCATCTGGGCAAAATGCTATTAGACCTTTGCTTAGGATCCCATTGTGTCTGCAAGTTGCTTATGGTAGAATGGATATTTGCATTATGTTGATTTTGCCAGTGAATCAGTATGGAAGATTTTTCCATTTTTGTGTGTCATCTTCCATTTCTTTAATGTTTTATAACTTTTTTGCAGACATTTTCATGGATATGAAACTGGACACTGAGTTGGCACTGAATTTCAGCTGCTGGGTAATCTTCCATTTCTGGAACCTCCTTGGCTTCCTGGTAAAACCCAGCTGTGCCTTCACCCTGGACAGGAGCAACTGGTTAGTACATGTGGCTGTGTCCTGTTGATGGCAGCCCTTGGGCCCAAAGGAGAGCGGAGGGAAGGGAAGGGAACCCTGTTCCCTGCAGTTGGGCTGGCTAGGCTGAGAACAAGGTGGACTTCCAACCTTTGGGATGGAGGGTCTAGTCGGGGAGCCCTATATACATGTGGAGACAGAAATGTGGAGGCCTAGCATTCCTAGAATTGAGTGGGGGCCACAGAGACAGAGGTGAATAAAATGTTGGTGAATGAGTTCCCTGGTTCTTTGTAGTTTATTAAGGGCCATAGAACATGCTAAGAAGGGAAGACTGGTTGTCCAGCCAGTGGGAGGGAGACCTGGAAGGAGAACTGCATGTGTTGACTCAGAGTACAAAACATAAGATGTATGGTTTTGGGAGACATGGTAGTAGTTGTTTGGGTTTTAGAGTTTCAAGCTAAGGACGATGGGATTGTAAGTACTTCATGCAGTGGCAGTAGAGGGTTAGATTCAATGGAAGAACCTAGGGCATACAAGGTTTTGGGAGCTGAAAACAGGTTATTTCTGTATGTCACTATCCTATGATAGGGAATATGGAAGGATTGTATGGAGAAAGGCAGGTGACTTTTAGGAGAATTGTAATAGGGAGGAGCTGGTAGGTCTAGTAAAGGCCAGCGCCGAGGCTCACTATGCTAATCCTCCGCCTTGCGGCTCCGGCACACCGGGTTCTAGTCCTAGTCGGGGTGCCGGATTCTGTCCTGGTTGCCCCTCTTCCAGGCCAGCTCTCTGCTGTGGCCTGGGAGTGCAGTGGAGGATGGCCCAAGTGCTTGGGCCCTGCACCTCATGGGAGACCAGGAGAAGCACCTGGCTCCTGCCTCGGATGAGCACGGTGCGCCGGCCACAGCACACCAGCCACAGTGGCCATTGGAGGGTTAACCAACGGGAAAAGGAAGACATTTCTCTCTGTCTGTCTCTCTTACTGTCCACTCTTCCTGTCAAAAAAAAAAGAAAAAAAAAAGAACTAGTGGAGCATCAGAGTGTTAGACCCAGGACAGGGCCTGGGGAGCAACCTTAGGAAAAGTGAGGGAAAGGGTATCAGGAGGCGGGTAGAGGGAACTTGCAGGAGGGACTGGGGAATGTGTGCTGATTTAATCAGGAAATTCGACCAAAGTCTACAGAGTACCAAGAGTTGGAGAAGATCTTATCTGAAATAAAATAAGGGTTAATAGGGTGCTTGGGTACATGGAGAACCTGATTTAGCCTGGGAATGAAGTTTGTGGCTTGTAGTCAGCTTATAGAAGTCAGAATTATAGCAGAGGACTTTTTCTTGGTAAATGTGGTTTTTTTGTTTGTTTGTTTGTTTGTTTTTTTGCTTTCAAAGGAGTTTCTGTGACGTACCCACATTTGTTCTAGTTATTTATGGTAATGCAGAGAGCATCATGAGGGTTTTTGAAAAAGTTTGTGGAAAGAGGGATTTGTAAGGTTGTTTCACTGTGTGTGTGAGAGTGTGTGTGTGTGTGTGTGTATGTAGAGTATTATGCTTACGCATTCATCTGATGAAAATTTCTTTTTTTCGCTGCCGTGAAGCATACTGCAATAAATATTGTGGTGGACGTATCTCTCTGATACAATATGTTCATGTGTTTTGGGTGATAGCCAATTGATGGGTTGCTCCATCATATGGCAAGTCTATTTCTGGTTTCTTAAAAATCTCCATACCATTTTCCACAGCAGCTGCACCAATTTACATTTCCACCACCAGTGTGTAAGTGTTCTTCTTGTCCCACATCTTCCTCATCATTGTGACTCTCCATCCTTTGGGTTTTAGCCAGTATGTACGTGTGAGCTGATATCCCATTGTGGTTTGGATTTGCGTTTCCCTGATAGCTTGTGATGTTGAGCATTTCTTCCTGTATTTGTTGGCCATCTGTATATCTATGGGGAACTTTCTGTTGAGTTCCTTTCGCCATTTCATATCTGGATTGGTTGTGTTTTTTCTTGCTGCTATTTTTTCTAAGTTGCAGATGTATTCTTGATATTAATCCTTTGTCAGATAGGTAGCTGACAGATATCTTCTGCTCATTCTGTTGTATGTCTCTTCTATCTGTGATGACTTCCTTTGCTATGCAGAGCTTTTAATTTCATTTAATCCCATTTGTTTAGTTTTTATTTTGCTGCTGGTCTTTGAGGGTCTTTTGCAAGGGTCATCGCCTATTCCAGTGCCTTTGAGCTTTTCTTTGTATTACCTTCAAAAAGCTTCATAGTCTCGGGTTATAGATTTAGGGCTCTGATACGTTTTGAGTTGATTTTCCTATTTTATGGGAGTTATGAATCTAATTTCGATGTTCTACACAGATACATCCATTTTTGCCAGCAGCATTTGTTGAAGAGTTTTTCCTTACTCCAGTGGATAGGTCTGAATCCTAAAAATCTGGTGTTGTACATATTTGGATTAATATTGGAGCTCACCTTGTTTTCTTCCATTGGTCTGTGTGTCACTTTTTCTGCAAGTGCTTTGATATTTTGTTTAGTGTAGATTTGTAGAATACTTTGAATCAGATGTTGTGAGGCATCTAGGCTAATTTTGTTTTGTCTTTTTTCTCAGGAACACCTTATCTATTCTGGATCTTGTGTGATTTTGTATCAATTTTCGGTTTGTTTTATGTAATTCTGTAAAGAATGTCATCGGTGTTTGGATACAAATTTAATTGAATCTTTAGGTAGCTTTAGGTGGGGTAGAGATTTTAATTATACTGATTCTTCAAATCCACCAAAAGGGATATCTTTCCATTTTTTGTGTCCTTGGTGATTTCTTTCATCAGTGTATGGCGATTTTCATGATAGAGCTCTTTGGCTTCTTTGGTTACATTTAGTCTTAAACATTTGATTTCTGTTGTTATTATCTTTGGGATTTTTTTGATTGCTGTGTCAGTGAGTTCATCATTAATGTATAAACACTGCTGCTTACACAGTATGCTTATTTGTAACCTGTGACTTCACTTAATTGTTTCACCAGTTCTAGCAGCGTTTTTGGTGGATTGTTTTAGTTTTTTCTCGTACCATAGCATGTCACCTGCAAGCATTTAGAATTTCAATTTCTCTTTTATAATCTAGCTGCTATTTCTTTCTTTCTTCTCCTTTCTTTCTCTTGTGAAAATTTACAGTACTGCATTCAGTAGGAATTTTAAAAGGGGATATCCTTGTGTTGTTACATGTTTGACAAAAATGCTTTCACTTTTTGCCCATCCAGCATGGCATTGGCTGTTGAGTTGTGATACATAGCCTTTATGATTTTGATACCTATTCCTTTTATACCTACTTTGTGGCGTTTTTTTTTTTCTTAATAATGAATGGGATTGAATCTTTTCAGGTTATTTTTCTGTATCTAATGAGATGATAATGTGTTTTTTTTTTAAAAAAAAGCTTTATTGCATTTTTGCAAGAATTACAGAGAGAGAAACATAGTGAGAACAGGTGAGCAAGAGAGAGAGTGAGAGAGAGAGAGAGGTGTTATAGGCTGCAGCAGTATGGTAGGCTTGGAGAGTGCAGGAGGGATTTGCTGCATTTAAGCTTATGGGATAGAGATACCCAGGGCATCTACTCAGCAGCATTCTCCCCACAAATCTGCAGGTTTGGAGGCACGGGGGGTGCAGAAGATCTATTGTGAGGAAGCCAAGAAGTGGATGTCTGCCTCCCCTGCTCCCTCCCACAGGGCACGGATGTGAAACTCACCCAGAGCGGACGCTGAAGCGCAACTGCCGGGTGTTCTTCCAGTTCTGGAGACTGCACAGCTTCCTGCTCAATGCCAGCTGGACCTTCTTCCGGGAGAGAAGCAACTGGTGAGCATATGTGGCCCCCTTAGTTGTGTCCATGTCCTGAGTGCACAAGGGGAAGGGAAGGGATAGCCTGTTCCCAGGGGTTGGGCGGCCCAGGCTGACACGATGTAGACTTCCACCCTGTGGCAGGGAGGGTCATGTGGGGTAGCCCCACAGGCATGGGGAGAAATGCAGGGGCCTGGTGGGCTTCAGCAGAGTGTGAGAGCATGGAAACAGGGGTGGGTAGTATGTTGGAGAATGAGTTCCCCGGGGCTCTGCAGAGCATTAGGGTCCAAAAAACATGGTAATAGGGGAATACTTGGGTATGCAGGAATTGGGAGGGAGACCTGGAGGACAAGTGTGTGCTGTTGAGTCAGAGTACAAAACCCAAGAAGTCTGGTTTGGAGAGACGTGTTAATAAAAGTTTGGGTTTTAGATTCCGGGCCTAAGAATGATGGGATTGGAAGTAAATTGTGTGGTATGATTGGATTGTTACATGCCATGGAAGAACCTGGGGCAAAGCAAGGTGTTGGGATCTGAAATCAGGTAATTTCTGTATATCGCCATCCTGGATATAGATAGGGAAATGGAAGGATTGTATGGAGGAGGTCAGGTGACTTTCAGTAGAGTTGTAATAGGGAGGAGCTGGTAGGTCTACTGGTAGGACTGGTGGAGTCTCCAAGTGTTAGATCTGGGACAGACCTTAGGAAAAGTGAGGGTAAGAAAATGGTGAGGGGTATAGTGTGGTCTTTCTTAGGGACTGTGGTATGAGTGCACGTTTAATTAGGAAACTTCAACAAAAGTCTCCGGAGTACCATGGATGGAGAGAGGCTTATGTGGGAGAAAACTGGATTGGTGTGTGCTTAGGAAGACAAGAACCTGATCTAGCCTGGATTGAAATTTGTGACTTGAGGTCAGCTTATAGAATCTGAATTTGGGCAGAGGACTCTCTCTTGGTAAAGGTGTATTTCTTTGTCTCTCAAAGATGTTTCTGTTATGTGCCAGCATTTGTTCTAGTTATTTAATGTAATGCAGGGGCCAACATGAGGTACTTTGAAAAGTTTGTGGAAAGAAGTGGTTGTGATAGCGGCGCCGGCACACCGGGTTCTAGTCCCGGTCGGGGCGCCGGATTCTGTCCCGGTTGCCCCTCTTCCAGGCCAGCTCTCTGCTGTGGCCAGGGAGTGCAGTGGAGGATGGCCCAGGTGCTTGGGCCCTGCACCCCATGGGAGACCAGGAAAAGCACCTGGCTCCTGGCTCCTGCCATTGGATCAGCGCGGTGCGCCGGCCGCAGCGCGCTGGCCGCGGCGGCCATTGGAGGGTGAACCAACGGCAAAGGAAGACCTTTCTCTCTGTCTCTCTCTCTCACTGTCCACTCTGCCTGTCAAAAAAAAAAAAAAAAAAAAAAAAGAAGTGGTTGTGAGTTTGCTTCCAAGACATTTTGATGAACTGCACACAGCTTTGTCGTGGTGCATGTTTTCCATATCCTTCTAGGCAGCTCTGTGTGAAAGCTTCTGCTTTCATGGAGTGTTTGTTCTGATTGCTGTTTGGGGGCTGGGGAAGACTTAGTCCTGCAGCACTTTACCAGGTAGGAGTTCTTGAAATATCTTCCCCTTATGTTGCAATGTATACTTTGTAGTACTTCCTATTCCTCATTTGATTTTTTCCATCTCTGATATTTCCTTTGCTTTTATGATCTGTCAAACCATGTCTTTTTGTTTTACACTGTCGCATTGTTTAGGAATGCAAACTCTTCCTTATGTTTTACTTTATAGGATGTGTCATTCTTTACAATGCAGTGTTATTTTTGGGTCACACTTATTCTGAATTATATAGCCTTTATACTCTTACTTTTTAGGTTATTTCTACAGAAAGATTTGCAAGCTTACATTTTTATGAAAGTCAGGATTTTCCATGTACAGAATTTTATGAATGTGCAAATTTTATATATTTAATTTTCCTGAAATGTGAGTGCTTACCTATTTTATATAAATTTCTATTAAAGATTGATGTTGTCTCCAGTGGATGTATTCGGTTTTTAATTTTTTTTATTTTTGACAGGCAGAGTGGACAGTGAGAGAGAGAGATAGAGAGAAAGGTCTTTCTTTTGCCGTTGGTTCACCCTCCAATGGCCGCCACAGCTGGTGCAACCGGCCGGTGCACCGCGCTGATCCGATGGCAGGAGCCAGGTACTTCTCCTGGTCTCCCATGGGGTGCAGGGCCCAAGCACCTGGGCCATCCTCCACTGCACTCCCTGGCCACAGCAGAGAGCTGGCCTGGAAGAGGGGCAACCGGGACAGAATCCGGCGCCCCAACCAGAACTAGAACCCGGTGTGCCGGCCCCGCTAGGCGGAGGATTAGCCTAGTGAGCCGCGGCGCTGGCCGGTATTTGTTTTTTAGGCTAAAATAATTCTTGGGTATATTTTATAGAACAATTCTAAGAATAAACGACATTCTTTTTTTTTTTTTTTTTTTTTGACAGAGTGGACAGTGAGAGAGAGAGAGACAGAGACAGAGACAGAGAGAAAGGTCTTCCTTTGCCTGGTTCACCCTCTAGTGGCCGCCACATCCAGTGCATTGTGGCTGGCACATTGCACTGATCCGAAGGTAGGAGCCAGGTGCTTCTCCTGGTCTCCCATGGGTTGCAAGGTCCAAGCACTTGGGCCATCCTCCACTGCACTCCTGGGCCATAGCAGAGAGCTGGCCTGGAAGAGGGGCAACTGGGACAGAATCCAGCACCCCGACCAGGACTAGAACCCAGTGTGCGGGTTCCCCTAGGCGGAGGATTAGCCTGTTGAACCACGAGGCCGGCTGACATTCCCTTTTCTGCTCTCCTTTCAACACTGTCTTTCCCAGTGTACCTCTTCCTTTCTTTCTCCCTTTGTTCCTCCCTTCCTTACTTCCTTTCTTTCATCCATTTTTTGGATGGTTTTTATATTTGCATTTTAGTAAAAGGCTAAGTGCTTTACCAAATAAGAAGTTCAGTAACCAAAAAGTAGGGTTGAGGCAATATTTGGCATCCCATACAGGTGCTGGTTCAAATCTCATTTACTCCACTTCTTTTTTTTCAAGATCTATTTATTTATTTCAAAGACAGTGTTACAGAGAGGCAGAGGTAGAGAGAGCGAGTAAGAGGTCTTCCATCCTCTGGGTCACTCCCTGGAAGGCCACAGCTACCAGAGGTGCACTGATCCAAAGTCAGGGGCCAGGAGCTTGCTCAGGGTCTTCCTACACAGTTGTAGGGGCCCAAGGACTTGGGCCATCTTCTACTGTTTTCCCAGGCTATAGCAGAGAGATGGATCAGAAGTTGAAAAGCTTGGACTTGAACTGGCACCCATATGGGATGACGGCACTGCAGGAGGTGGCCTTACTCATTATGCCAAAGCACTGGTCTCTACTGCATTTCTGATCCAGCTCCATGCTAAAGCACCAAAGCATCAGAGGACAGCCCAAGTGCTTGTGACTTAAGAGCCATGTGGGACACCTGGAAAAAGCTCCTGGCTCCTGTCATCATCGTGGTGCAGTCCTGGCTGTCTTGGCCATTTGAGAAGTGAACCAGCAGATGGAAGATCTCTCCCTCTTTCTCTCTCTCTGTATGTAACAGTGTCTTTGTAATAAACAAAGTAAATCTCATAAAATTAAGGGAAGAACAGAAACCCTAGTTTATAGGGAATATAAGCAACAAGTATAATCAGTTGAATGGAAAAATGACCATTTTTCCCATACACCCTAAATTTAAAGTAATCACAGATCATTACAACTATACTAATGCTACATTCTTTTTTCTTTTCAAAATTTTTTTAAGATTTACTTTTACTTACTTAAAAGACAGAATTACTGAAAGAGGTGTAGAGGTAGAGAGAGTGGTCTTCCCTCTGCTGGTTCATTCCCCAAATGGCCACAATGGCTATAAATGAGCCAATCCAAAGTTATGAACCAGGAGCTTCTTCCGGGTCTCCCACATGGGTTCAGGGCCCCAGGACTTGGGCCATCTTCTACTGCTTTCCCAGGCCATAACAGAGAGCTAGATCAGAAGAGGAGCATTGGGGTCTAGAACCTGTGCCCATGTGGGATGCTCACCTTTCAAGCCTGGGATTTAACACACTGCCACACAGCCCCTACCCCTTCAATTGTTTTTAAAATGAATGAAAAGAGAACATATTTCATGAATTGTGTAGGTACAGTTCTAAGAATAAACCCAGAATTTCCTCTCTTCCCCTTTCCCCTCCTTCCTTTCCTCTTTTCATCTATTTTTCATGATATGATTATAATCCATGTAATATTCAGGATAACAATAATATTCATAGGAAAAAGGTACAAAGAATAAAGTTCTACTGGAGCAGTATGATCTTTTATTTTAGGACATTAAATTAAAAAAAAAAACAGTTTTCTTGAGAGGCATTGTTACAGAGAGAGGAAGACATAGAGTTAGAGGTCTTCCATCCATATGTGCTCATTCTACAAATGGCCACAATGTCTGGAGGTGGGCCAGTCCAAAGGCAGCAACCAAGAGTTTTTTGCATCTTTCCCACTAGGGTGCAGGGACCCAAGCCTTTGGGCCATCTTCCACTGTTTTCTCAGGTCATCAGCAAGGAAGTATATTGGAAGTGGAGCAGCTGGACTTGAACTGGTGCCCATATGGGATGCTGGCACTACAATGGATGCTTAACCTACTATGCCATAATTCCAGCCCCAGTATTCTGTTCTTAACCATTGTTTTGTCCAGTTTTCAAACAAAGTTTTATAGGAGTATATTTGCGGCAGTAGTGATACACATTCACATTTATATTTCTTTTTTTGTGTTTTGATTTTTTTCAAAAAGTTAACTTTCACATGTAAGGTAATACATGTGGGTATTTTTTTTTCTGGCTGATTTCTCTAAGATGAAGTCCTCCAGTAACTCCATTTTGATGCACTTGATAAAATTTCATTATTTTTAAATCCTGAAATACATTTCATTTTAGATCTATACCATGTTTTCCTTATGCATTCATCTGATGATAGAAATCTTTGTTTAATCTTTATAA